TTTAATTCTCAATTCCCTGTCAGTGTCAATCAAATGCTCTGCCACAGTCAATAAAGTGCTCTGCTAACTTGACGTATTCAAGATCATGCCACAGATGACCATATAATATATTGTGGAGGTCATGTTTTCAATTTCAATGTCAAACACCCTGATGGGGCCATTGCCGACATGCCTTCAATCTCAACCTCAAACACCCCGACAGCAACATCCTCCGCGGTGCTTTCAACTTTAATGACAAACACCCTGATGGTGACATCCCCCGCGGCACCTTCAATTTCAATGTCAAACACCCCAACAGAGACATCCCCCACGGCGCCTTCAATCTCAACCTCAAACACCCCAACGGCAACATCCTCCGCGGTGCTTTCAATTTTAATGACAAACACCCCGATGGAGACATCCCCCGCAGCACCTTCAATTTCAATGTCAAACACCCTGACGGCGACATCCTCCGCAGCGCTTTCAATCTGAACCTCAAACACCCCGACGGTGACATCCCCCGCGGCACCTTCAATTTCAATGTCAAACACCCCGACGGAAACATCCCCTGTGGCGCCTTCAATCTCAATGTCAAACACCCTGACAGAGACATCCCCAACAGAACCATCAATTCCAGTTTGAAACCCCAATGGAGCCACAAATGAGTAGACGAGGTGTGAGTAGCTAAATGAAAAGCTTTCATTTCTTAACTACAAGGTGAGTGTTTCCCTGTTGGGACAAAATTCAGTTTTTGGTTGATATGGAGACTATCTTGCAGGAGTTGGATGAGATAAAGATTAAGATACATTATGCTACAGATCTAGATGGATGTAAGTAAGGGGAGAGAGGCCCCAGTTAATTTTTTTTGTAGTTCCATCAGGATGGGCTGAGAGCCCGTCGGGACGTGGTCAGAGCCCATCGGTTAAAAAAGTGGTTCCGCCGCGGGAGCGTAAACCCTGCCAGGGTCAGAAACCGGCCACTTTGTTGCCAATGGAACAATGGCAATCAAACCGGCCGCCCCGGCTGACCCGTTCACTATGACTGATTGTCACATCTGGCTGTTCCATTGTTATTGGACCCATGTGACTGAACTAACTAGTGGGCTGCCTAAAGCTGTGCAGATGGGAATTGTTAGTGTCCATTGAATACTTAGTAGTTGCTCGCTACAGAGGTCTCACACTGCCAGCATCGATAGTC